AAAAAAAAAAAAAAAAAAATGCTCAGACTTTATCAGTTAGACTTCCAATATGTTCTAGTGGAATAAAGGGTTGTTTTTCAACTCCTTAGAATTTTACTTTCAGGCTTATTTTCTAAAATGACACATTTTGTATTAAGTTTAGGTAAAACTAGCTATCAAGAAACAGCGATGCAATGCTGAGCATGATGGTGCATGTTTGCTATCCTAGCACTTGGGAGGCTGAGGCAGGAGGATCAACACAAGTTCAAGGCCAGCCTAGACTATACAGTGAATTCAATGAGAGCCTAAACTACATGGCAAGACCCTGTCTCACAAAACCAAAAAAGAAAAGACAGAAACACTGATGCACTACCTTTTTTGGAATTACTTTATATGTACTGAAATTCACGGCTGCTTTACCTTCAAACTGCTCTCCGGGTCTGAAGACAACAGTGTGTCTGGTATCGCAAAATGTGATTGATGTGGGGAGGGGATATAAAGTCAAGTTCCATTAAAAATTTTGTTCCTTTGCAATATCATTCTTTACGTGTTGCTAAAAGCATACTTAAAATATTCCCTCCTAACTCGGAAAGACACTTTCTAAAAAATATCCTTTCCGGGCTGGGGATTTAGCACAGTGGTTCTGCTGTTTACTTTGCAAGCACAAGGTCCTGAGTTTGATCTCTGGTACCAAAAAAAAAAAAAAGTAGTTTTCCTTCTCCATGTAACCACTGTTGAACATGCAGCAGGTGCCCGGTGATACCTCTGCCATATGAGCAGAGGCCAGCATGAGGTTAATCCCCTGTGTGCACGCAATACTGCATTTGAGTAAAAGGAGAAAGCAACTGAGGTAGGGCAGTCAGAGAAGGCTTTATGGGTCGAAGACAAGAAGACTACATTGGTAACTGCAGGAGGGGCTGAGTTTCAATGGTCCGTTGAAAAGAAGCAGTATCAGCAGCGTATGAGAGGACTGGTCTAGAAGCAGCACAGTGGCATGTGAGAGGACAGGTCCAAAAGCAAAGCAGCATGGGGAATATGAGTGGACTGGTTCAGAAGCAGTGTGGCGATGTGAGAGAATGAGTCGAGAGGATGCATGGTGGCACATGAGAGGACAGGTTTAGAAGCAGCCCAGCAGTGTTATGGGGCCAGGCACTACCCAAGGAGTCCAAGTGCACTGCACAAAGGACCATAAATGGGGCAGTGTTGTGGAGTGGAAATTAGAGCTTTGATATTAGTTACCGCAGTGGAAACAACCAGACTTAAGAGGTAGAGGAAGAAAGGGGTAAGGATGAGCCAGGTTTTGGGGTGGAGGTTAATGTACACTGAACACATCAGAAGGCAGGATCTTTTGTTAACTATGAGCCCTACTGTGTACTTTGTAGTGGGAATTTTGGGGCTGGGATTTGAGAGAAAGATGCAGCCCATGATGAAGGCTCGGTGCTATCCACGTGGAGATGCACGTTAAGGTTGGACTTGGCAAGCTGTCCTCTGCAAGTTTTCTGTGGATGCGTTCAGTGTGCTCAGGGGCAAGGGTTCCTCCAGATCTGACCCAGGGCTGTTAAGCCTGACCATGGCTCAGGGTGCCCAGCTCTGAGGTGCACTCACCACACCCAGTGCTGATCCTGTGAAATGGGATATGTATCTGAAGAAGGGAAGGAGCCCAAGCGAGCAATAGGAAATGTGAACCAAGCAGTGTGGCATTTCAGAACAAAGGTCAGCCGTCAGTGGGGCCATACCCTGACAGGAAGAGGAGAATGAGGACCAATGGCATCAAGTAAGTGTTCCTTTTACTACTGGTCTCTGTGAATGCATGAAAGCAACATTTTCTTTAACCACTAGAAGTTTTGCATCAAGGAGGCATTCACTACATAGTGAGTGACAGTGCTAGTTTTATATTCAAATTTTACTAAAAACTTCCACTTTCAGCCTTGATATTAGGATTAGCATCCAAATTAGATTAATGTCTGTGTCTCATGGCTTCTCTTGGTGCTTAGGAAATACTTGTTCATTTGATTTGGTTCACTGCTCTTCAGAGACCCAAGGGTAAACAAGTTCCAGGAAAAGTAGTCCATAGATGAGCAATATATACTAAGCTTCTCCAAATTATCAAGACAGATAGAGAATCAAATTATATGTCCATAATCCCAGCTCTCTGGGAGGCTGAGGGAGGAGGATTATAAGTTTGAACCTAGCCAAACGCAGCAACTTACTGACTCACTGAGATTCTGTCTCAAAGTAAATAATAAATAGGGATGGGGTAGCAGATCAGTGTGAAGGCTCTGGGTTTAATCCTCAGTATCACACACAAAAAAGACAAATTATAGACAAAGGACCAGATAGTCTGCTGAGTTTTTTTAAACTGACCAGAAATGACAAAAGAAATGGGTGACAGATTACAAGCCACTGAAATATAAAGCTCAAGCAAAATAAAATATGAATGAGAATAAGGAAGATACCCTGTTTTAGGAAAAAGAACCATCAAATACAAAGGATCGATAGCTACTCTACATCAGGGAGCTCTGTTTAAGAAAAACACCCAGAGCTCCAGTAGGTGAATGGCTGTACATGATCCACGATGGTCACATGTGGGCACCTCACTGCAGAGCTGCCGTTGGAGCTGCATGGCAGGTCTGGATCCCTCACTAGACAGGGACAGTATGAGGCTATGACAATGTCTAGTCTGACAGGAAGACAGAACTTAGCGCAGTAGAGGCTGAAACAACAGAAGGGACAAGCTGAGGGAAACCACCACTACCAAGGTGAGAGAACTCTAGCATGTGCAATAATCGTATTTTAAAAATTTAATAACTTTGTAAAAACTCATTAAAAAAATTGCTTGAAGCCTTAAAACCCAATGACAATGATTAACAATAATCTTGTGTCATCAAGTTGTGCTTACTCTGAATGCAATCCTTATTATAGATTCAATTTCCTTTTTTATCCTTAGTGGAACAGAAAGCAGTTGATCACTGCTCTGAGATATTTAACATTTGTAACATGTAAGGAACTCAATGGTGTTTGTCTTTTCAGCTAAAACATAATACATACTATTAAGCCTCTACTTCTTGCAACATTTTGCCCATTTTCCTGAACTGTATAGTAAATTGTCAGGTGTGGTGGTGCTTACCTGTAGTCCCAGCACTTGGGAGGCTGAGGCAGGAGGATTACTGAGAGTTAAAAGCCAGGCTGGGCTACATATTTGAGTTCAAGGCCAGTCTGAACTACATAGGGGGATGCTGTCTCAAAAAAGTAAATGTATGCTGGGCGTGGTGGCATACACCTGTAATCACAGTACTCAGGAGGCTGAGGCAGGAGGATCACTGTGAGTTTGAGACCAGCCTGGGCTACACAGTGAGTTCCAGATCAGTCTCTACTACATAGTGAGACCCTGTTTCAAAAAACCAAAAAAGTAAATGTAGGGTTTTTTTTTTCTTTCAAAAACTAACCCTTAAGGTTATTTAAAACTAGGATAAATCTAAGTTTGTGCAAGGCTAAGGATAGGATTTTGGTTTATACACTATTCATCTTTATATGCATCTTTACCATTAAAAATTATTAAGCCAAGGATTGTTCAAAGAGAAACAAGCTTAAAATTTTTAAACTACCAGTACTGGGGAGGCTGAGGCAAGAAGACAGCTGTGAGCTCAAGGCCAGCCTGGGCTACCTAGTGAGACCTAGTAAGACCCTGTTACATACACACAAAACTTTTGTTAAAACTACCATTTATCACTAACCAGTGTCTGCTAATTATTCTTAATCCCTTGAGGGCAGAAAATTTTCTATTTCTCACAAGAAGTGTTATATATAAAAGGTTCTCAGCCAAGGACTCTGATTTACTAACTGAAATCAACACAATTTCTCTAATTGCAACCTTTTCAATGTTTAGATTCTAACCAGGCATCTTAGTTCAGGATGAGATGTTCTGATTTAGCCTTCCTATTGCCTTATTCATCTCAGATATGAGGAAACCAAAGTCCCAGATAGATTGTCTTGTTTAAGTGATTCATTTAGGCAAAAAAAAAAAAAAAAAAAAAAAAAAAATCACAATGAGTTAGAAGAGCTGCTTAAATGCAAAATGCACAGCTTCTGACTCTGTGTGCTGGACACACTTTTGAAACCTAAGGACTGCTCTACATGACAATGTCTAACTCTGCTGCTGAATCTGGAGGACTACTGTCTTGCACTTTGGAAATAAGAGTTTGCATAGACATTCTAAGATGTAGTTACCAGTAAAGTACTGATTGATATATATACATTTTAAACATGCTACATTTAGTGACATTTCTCTATATGGTTAACTTAGCTTTCCTTTATTCAATACAAGTCACTGGACTGAAGGCCATGGAAAAAGCAGTGAGTAAAACACCCAGAGCTCTTTTTGTCTTGTAAACTTTAACCTTATGCTGTAACTCTCAGGAATTCGAGACCATGTCTGCACACGAGAACCGTGTCAGAGCTCCTCTGAATCCCTGGTTGCTGATGCCATGCCTACAACACACTACTGTTTCTCAGTAAGGAGACTTCCTAGTGCTGAGTACTTACCAGTGAGAAAATTCCGCAGTCGTCCAAATTGTACTTCATATTGCTGGGGTTCTGCCTGGCAGGGGGCTGAAGACACTATGTTGGCACAACCAGATTCTGACTGGACTAAAGAGGGAAAGACAAGATAGGGGTGGGAAGACAATTAGCAGGCTGAATGTGGTGCGTCAGTGGCAAGTGCTGTCTCAGTAGATTTTGTGAGTGTGCTGGGTCCTGATGAAGTGCACAGGCTGTCTTGTCTGTCTCCCTCACACCTGATCCAGTGAAATGAGGGCAGAGGAGAAAAAGAAAATGCAGGGCAGATGGAACAAAAGGGCAGGCCCATGCGCCCCTGAGAAGTGCATGGAAACATCTAGTCCTGTGTTTCATAAACAAATGGCAGTAGGACCCTGTTAACTGCTGTGCTTTGTACTGGGGCCTTTCAACCTGGGATTTGTGCCTTCCAGTTTTGAGAAAAAATTTCCAGTCATTTTTGGTCACTCTTTTCTATTTTTGAGACTCCTATGATATAGCTGGGGATTGAACTTGGGACCATGCACTTTCAAGGCAAGCGGCAGAACCACTGAGCTAAATCCCAGCCCAAAAGGAACTTTTTTTTTTTGGTACTGGGGATCAAATTCAGGTCCTTGCACTTGCAAGGCAGGCGGCAGCACCACTGAGCTAAATCCCCTGCCCCATTTTTGGTCTTTTTGAGACAGGGTCTCACTATGCAGATCAGCTTGGTCTGAAAACACTTTGAGGCCAGGCTGGCCTCGAACTTGTAGCAACCCTCCTGCCTCAGAATCTTGAATGCTGGGATAACAGGTGTGCAACACCATGCCTGGCCTGTTACATTTTTTAGCACTAGGCCTATAGCAGATATGCAATAAATGTCTGCTAATGATTCCATCACTCTGATTCCCAGTTAACAGAAAGATTGGGACAAAAACTTAAGACCATGTTGAATGCTCTCACTTTTCCTGGTGGCTTCCAACAGTGATGTAGACTCTCCTGAAAACCACTGTGTCTGAACAGCAAATGGCTCAGTGGTGCTCTCTCCTACTTCCCATCAGCAGCACAGTGGCACTCGACGCAGGGTGGCAGGAGACTGCATACACACCAAGGGCTGTGATGGGAAGTTCAGAAGGAATCACTCCAGGCCCCATTAGCTTGATTGCACTAGAGATAAGGCAACTGCTGGTCTATGCAAAGGCCATCATCTGGCCCTGATTCTGTCAAGGGAGCTCTCTAGGGGCTATAGGAGAGAAGAATGGGTTGGTCTGGACGTAAAGAACATGTGAGCAGGGCCGGGGATTTAGCTCAGCGGTTTGGTGGCCTGCCTAGTTCAATCCCCGGTTCCCAAAAAAAAAGAACATGTGAGCAAATTCAGCCAGACTTCTGATGCAGTCTCAGAGCAAGCCATGGACCACACTGAGGACATCATCAGGCTTTTACTGCCCTTCACTTTGCCCTGTAGTGAAGCCAACATACACTTAAAGCAAAAAAGGTCCAAGTCCTTGACTGAGGGCAATGTGAAGGGGAGCTGAACCAACTGCTACTATCAGGACTGAGCATGAAACCATTAAAGGAGGGGCAAACAGTGACAGGTATTTAGGAAAGTGAAGTCCAGAAACAAAGCAGGACCCTGTCTGCTCATGTGTAAGAGGACCCAAGGCTGAGTCACTCCAACTCCACAAAGCCAATAACTTAGTTCATAATCACCCTGAAGCATCACAGCAGCACTCCCCCATCTTCAGTACTACAGAAATTCAATATAAGAAAATCACATCACATAAAAACCTGAACTCACAAAACAACCATTCCAGATAGAGTCAAGACCAGCTTTTCTGTAGAATCTGATTTCACAACTACAGAAAAACAAATTTTAAAAACCTCAGAATATGTCTGCAACACCAATATTTCCCACAGCTTATCTCACAGTACTCCTCTCCCACTTGCAAACCTGAGGTTCAAGGGCAAGAGTCTAGTAGGATGGGAGACTACAAAAATCATCAGGTACAGATAACACAGTCTAGAAGCTCTGGGAAAGGAAGTATTATCCAGCCAGGGGGCAGGAAAGAGCACCACTGGGGAGCCTGCTCTCTGTCCAGTAAAAGAAGTGACTCCACGCACCACCGACAGAGATCCTGCTCCAGGCCACCCATGGTCACCTGTGAGGTTGGCTGCCATCTCCTCAGCAGTCTGAGACAGACGCAGGCCTTGCTTCAGGGGGCCATCTGAATCCACGTACTGCCGGCGCTTGAGGTAGCAGGACACTGCCATCTGGACGTGCTCGGTGCGCACCCGTTTCATGACCTAGGCAGAAACCACAGGGGCAGAATCAAGAGGTCAGGTGAGGAAGACTGTGGCCTTGGAGTTGCTTCAGTGCCCAGTTAGGAAATGAATATGACTTCCACTTTATTTTTTCCCATGGCCACCTAGCCAACTTCGATGATGCATGGGTAAGCCATGTAGGTTATCCTCAAAAGTTAGTTAATACCATGGTTTCAGTTACCCCTTTGACCTTTTCATCAGGGCTGTTAACAAGCAAGAAGGGCCAGTAGAATAGGGACAGTTTAAGTAGGCCTTTCATTTCTCCTTCCAGTTTTGAGGCATTAATCAGCACTGAACCCACAAAACAAAATCAAAGACCTGAGAAACTCAGAAACTGGGTTAAGTAGATGTTGAAAGGGGAGAAGTCAGTAATGAGGAGGGATGTAAAGCTTCCTTTGGAATGGTCAGGAAAAGGCTGCCAGTCTATGCTTTCAGACTTGATTTTTATGTTTTCATTTTAATCAAATCAATCTGTCTCTTCACTGTCTTTTGAACCATAGGTAAAACCACCCTGCTGCAACAAAACAGTAAGAGGGCACATGCATATGTTAAAATATGTCTCATGAATTGCAGTAAGAAGGGAAAGTGGTAGGAAGTGAGCTAAATGGGGATAATAACGATTTAGGCTAATTTAAGGGCTCACCAAAAATGAAAATAAAACAAAACAGAGGGGAGGTAGAGAAAGAAAAGGGACTAGCTTCCTTCATTATTAAGTTTATTATCAAGAATTATGGAAACCTCCAGTATTGCCCTGGCCTCAAATACTACCTTGCCAGAAATAAAGAAACTATAGGCAGAAGCCAAATGGCAATGGGATGAATTTTCTAGGATCACTTTTGTCATGTAAGACATACTTCTTACTCAAGAATCAAAATGTAGTGTCCATTCTGGAAGATACATATGTGCCAATGCCCGTCAAAGTAAGTCTCTGAACCAAGGGTTCCCAGGCCTGGGTCAGGGCCAAGCTTCATCACTGATGTGGCTGGGTTTAAGCTTTGTTTCAGCTATGTGTATCAGCTCTCTCCTTTGACAACTTCATTCTTTAAGATTTAAAATTCCAGCTGGAGATTTAGCTCAGTGGTTCGGCCACCTGCCTTGCAAGCGCAAGGTCCAAAGTTTAATCCTCGGTACTGAGATTTGAAATTCCACCTTTTCCAGAAATTTATTATTTTCTTTTTTACCTATAGTTTTGTTTTATTGTATTTATTTTTGGTACCAGGGATCAAACTCGGGACCTTGCACTTGCGAGGCAGGCAGAGGAACCACTGAGCTAAATCCCTGGCCCTAATTTATTATTTTCTTAAAATATTTTCAACTGTTCATTCCTATCTATAAGTTTTATCCATCTGCAACTTTTTAAAGTATATCATATGAATGAATAGCCAAGCAAATGTTTTACAGAGACACCGTGCAGCCACACTGCCCCTGGATCATGTGAAAGTGCTCTCCCAAACTGGTCTGCAGCAGGACTCTGAAGACTCATTTCAATTTTTCAGAAGCCATACAACAGGGAGAGCAGCAAAGGGTGAAAAGTATATATAAATTTATAAACAAAACATTGAAACATCATACCTATGTCAAACTATGAGCACAGAGATTATCTGGATTAATACAAGGAGTACAAAACATGTCAGAAAGAAAGGACGCTGGGTGTACACCACACCAGTAATCCCAGCACTCTGGGAGGCTGAGGCAGAAGGATTGCAAGTTTGAGCCTGGCCTGGGCTACTTAGGGAGGCCCTGTCTCAAAATAAAAAGTGGGAGGGCCAGGGATTTAGCTCAGTGGTGCTGCACCAGCCTGGCAAGCTTAAGGTCCTGAGTTCATTTCCCAATTTAAAAAAAAAGAAAAAAAGGATGGAAATGTAGCTCAGTGCAAAGGTCCTGAGTTCAATGCTCAGTATATATAAAAAAAATTTTTTAACAGCTCTAATTACTTGCCAATACTGAATTACCTTTTCATTATGGAATCTGCCTTTCTTTATGATAGCGTATTATTTTTTTCACCATATCAATGAGTTGTTTTTAAGATAGAATTCTTTTTTATTGCTCAAAGATTCTGATTAAGAGTGATATCTGATATCCCTGCGCTCAGTATCATCTCCCCATAAGTGAAGATAGATAACATTTTTTTTTTTGTGCTCACTAATCAGTACTACTAGTTTGATTATATCTAAGATTCTCTATGGCTTTCTAACCTGGCTACAACAAGTACGTACACGTACAAGTAACCTGAGCCTCAGAGATTATTTGAACTAGTTGATACAGAGGACTTTCCTACATCCCCATAATGCCTGCTAACACGGCTTTTAATTCAAATTCAAGAGTGCCTAGTCTGTTACTTGCCCAAAGTAGCCTGATGGCATACTTCAGTGAGACCAAGACCATTCCAGACTTCTACTGCCATCTCTTGTTGATGTGGCATCACGCATATGCCCACACATATCTATGAGAATTCCAATCAGAGGTCTGATAGGAAAAAACACATGTTCAGACATAGGATTTACTGACGGAGGGGGAGAAAAGATATTGTAGGACATGTCCTCAAAATGGGATGACCCATATGTGTGTCTGCAGAGGAGGGAAAAAGATTCATATAAGATATATATATGAGAACAAATGAACAATGGTAAAATCTGGCTGTACCTATGACTGGGAGAAACTAGTTAGTGAATATTAATTCTACAGAATATGCCCCTGTTGGTGATGGTGGTGGTTCACACCTGTAACCTCAGCACTCGGGAAGCTGAGGGAGGAAGATCACCTTGAATTCAAGGCCAGTCTGGACTACCTTGTGAGACCCTATCTCAAAAACCAACCCCCGCTCCCCAAATCCATAAAGATTATGTCCCAATTAACAGCCCCAAGTGGCAGTATCAATCCAATCAGCATGTTTGATAAGAGACTTTCCCTGAGATCGGGCAGTGAGCCGATTGGAGGACAAGGATGGCAGGGTAGGAATTTGGCAGTAACTCTTATATACCACATGGAACTCAAATGCCAGAGATGTGATTCAATCAAGCTTTCTCATTTTATTCCAATACATGTATTTCAAGTGAAATACTGAAGAATTCCTCTGAGAAACCAGTTCCCCAAATGATTTCCATTATACTAATATCCATAAATGGACATGTGAAGGGGAAAAAAACCTCCTTAAAATAGACCCAAGTCTCTTGAGAGACTCAGAGGAATACTGCAATGTTAAGTAACTTGCCTACTTCTTTTTTTTTTTTTTTTTTTGAGACAGGGTCTCACTATGTAGTTGAGACTGATCTGGAACTCACTATGTAGCCCAGGCTGGTCTTGAACTCACAGTGATTCTCCTGCCTCAGCTTCTTGAGTGCTGGGATTATAGGTGTGCGCCACCACGCCCGGCTTCAACCTACTTCTTACTATAATTATAAAATCTTTTCAGCGTAAATTAAATTGGATATAATTATATAATTTTTAAAATACCAAGAGTTTCCATAATTTTCAATTTGCATAATATACTTTAACCTTTAAAGTATCCAACACCCTTCTCTATCACATTAGTAGTATTTCTGGAAATCAAAATGAAGATGCTGACACAATGTGTACCTCTTTCTCAAATTACAATAGCTGCCTACTGTTCCATCAACTCTTCAACAAAATTGCTATCAAAGAGAAACCACAGCCACGCTCTTAATATGGGGCAGAGGGTTCATGCTGCCCAGGCACATTCTTAAGACGATGGCAAAGTAGGACTTGGCCTGATTAATCTTGTCAGTGATCATACATCACATCCTAACCCCAACCACTTATGTCTAAATGCAAATGGTTGGTGGAGGATGTTTGGGAGATACCCCACCCCATTTCATGCCAGGCAGTGCACAGTCCTGTTTAATACCCAATGTTAAATGAACAGCCCCTCTCCAAAGGGCAGGAGCCCTGATTTGGGGGTGATTTGAAAATAAACCCAGGAAAGCTCATCACAGAAACATCAAATCCATTCCCCAATGAGTCTCACTGTTGACTAGATTTTTTGAGTAAATATATTTTTCCAATTGGAAATTTATGCTTAGAAACACATTAGACATTATTTTTTTGCTTTTGTTAAATGGGATTCATGTAAAGACCCTACGAGGTATTCAAATAAATATTAGTTGTCTCCTCCTGTAGTATATCAAAAGGTCACTTTAGGTAGGACCTAAAAAAATTTAGCCTTTAATTGTGATGAAGTTTTGTAAAGTTATAAGTCACAGCTGAAAAATAAATAAGCCACACTACTTAGTTTGTAATAGCTCACTGAACTTTAAAATTCCGATTATCTTTCATAGTCAGTCTCTGCTCAGACTGACAGTCATACACTTGAACTGGAAGCTGTGCTGTTTCCTATGGTGTCCTAAGGAACAAAATGGCACATGAATGAGTCCATGGCTGGGGCTAAGGAGGAAAAGTAGGACCCGGAGCTTTGCTGGCAGCAGGGAGCATATAGGAATCATGAAATCAGCAGACTGAGAATGCCAGGAACATTTTTTCCAGCACCAGCTGGGCCTTCTGCAATGTCCCTCAAGTCTTTTCTGATGAATTACTTTCCATATAGCATTCTCTGGCCCTGCCATTCCAAATCTTCCCCAGTCTCTTTACCCAGCTCACTAGACCTGCTCAACTCAGTGGACTACTCAGAGATTTGTGTCCTCAACCCTGTCCAATACAGCAGGCACTTCATGATTGTGAACACCACTGACCTTCCCACCCCATGAAACTCTCTCTTCCCTTGGCTGTTCCCCTTCACAAGCCAGCCTTCTGGTTCTCCTCTCCCACTCTCTGCTCCTTCTTCACAATTCCTATGGCACACTACTACTTGCTATCCTCAGTCAAACACTGTCCCGAGCTCTACGAGTTCACAGACATTTCCACCTGGAAAATGCAAAGGCCTAACTCAATATGCTCACTGGAGAATTAATCTTCCCTTTAGAATCTCTTCTTTTGGGCCGGGGATTTAGCTCAGCAGTTCTGCCGCCTGCCTTGCAAGAGCAAGGACCCAAGTTTGATCCCTGGTACAAAAAAAAAAAAAAAATTTCTATTTTACTGGTGCTATTATTCTTAAAGCAAGAGACCTAATCATTATCTTAAGATTATTTTCTTTGTCTTACTTCAAGGGGCCAAATTCTTATATTAAATATGAATTCTTTCTCAACCTAAAAAAAAAGGTGGCTAGTGTAATGAAACCATTTCTACTTCTCCATCCTCACTGCAATTTGCACAAGTCACTTCTCAACTGGACCATTTCAACACTCCCATCTCTAATCATCCTTCTGAAAAGAGCTACAGTAAACAAATTTGCTTACTCCTAAGCCCTACCTCTCATGCAGGCTGGCTGATCCTCAGTTTCTCCAAACAGACGAAGAGTCCCCTAGGCATAGGGCTTCTCTCATCCTTTTTTTTGTTTTTGTTTTTGTTTTTTTTGAGATAGGGTCTCACTATGCAGTTCAGACTGGCCCTGAACTATGTGGCACAGGCTGGCCCTGATCTCACTGTGATGCTCCTGCCCCAGCCTCTATGTGCTTGGATTACAGGCATTTGCCATCACACCAGGCATTTGCCATCACACCAGGCTTTTCTCATCTTTGAAACTCACATAGAAAATAAAGGAAGTACAGGGGATGTAACTCATTGGATCCAGCACCTGCTTTGCAAGCGCATGGTCCTGAGTTCAATCCCCAGTACAAATAAATAAATGAATGAAGTATAGCCAGGCATGGTGGCTCATGTATGACTATAATACCAGCACTCAGGAGGCTGAGACAGGAGGATTGCTGCAAGTTTGAGGCCAGCCTGAACTACACAGTAAGACCTTGTCTCAAAAAACAAAACAAAACAATAAAAAGGAAATACTATCTAGATTCTGCTCAGAATTCCTCAAAGTTTAAGCTCATGATTTTTTTCAAAGTTTATGAACCAAAAAATTCACAAATATCTGATTGCTACCTCAATACCCATTCTGCACAGAAAAACTGACCTATACACAAAGATCAGATGAGCATGGCACAACCAACACAATAGGGACATCTATGCTGTTTACTAGTTTGACTGCACAGGATAACTTTCATGCATGCTACTTAACAGAAGAAATAGGGTGTTCTGCTCTTTAAGGGGAACATGTTTTCCTACACTTATCACTAAAACAATTCAAATGCAAATGAGGTCTCTCAGATACTTTAGTGACATTAGCAGATTTTGTGTGGGTTAGGGGATTTAGCTCGGGGTAGAGCATATGCCAAGTGTTCAAGAGGCCCTGGGTTCACCAGCACCACAAAACACATTTATATATAAGTAACTATGTGTCTCAGAATGGTGTGGTTTTTAGTTTTCATTTTAGAGCAGTACTGTCCCAAGAGCAAGCTCACAAGTATAGAAGTTCCTTGGTCTGCACTGCTCAGTACAGTAACCATCAGACAGACACTCAAGGGTTCTAAGCAATCAAAATGTGACTAGCAAGACTGAGCAACTGAGCTATCAATTTTAATTAATTTTTTACCTTAAGTAGCCATGTGACCAATGTACACTGGATATGACATTACTCTGAAATGAATGCATCACCGTTTTTGCTCAAAAACAACTCACGGAGTGTTTTATGACACTTTTGTTAATTACAAAATCTCCCCAAAATTAGCATTTTGCTTGGAAAAACAGAGCTCTCCTTTTTACTGCCTAACACTGCAAGATCTCACTGGAAGGTATCTCCTGTGTTTGACATCTACACGAGGAATTACCCAGGGAAGTTATTTGTAGTGTGTTTTAAACTATGCCAGTACAAAATGCCTTTGAAAGGAAATTTACCTCAGTAGAGAAACAGCAATAAGTAACATATGCAAAACATTCAACTAAAAAGTAAAATCAAACCTAAGAAACCTTATTCTTGCAATGGGAAAATTAGGTAGAAAAATTTTAGTCAACTTAAATACTTTAAAAAAAGGGGTGCTTGTGGATGAAATGTAAATATCTACTTTTCCTATTTTATCCCCCCCAGTACCAGGGATCAAACTCAGGACCTTGTACTTGTGAGGCAGGCACACCACCACTAAGCCAAATCCCCAGCCTTTAGTGTCTACTTTTAATCTTCATACATATTTAAAATATACTCCAGTAATATAGTAATTCACAAAACAATTTCATGCCAACCACTCACACATCTTAAACACTAGTGCCTGTGGATCAATTAAGCCACTATGAATCATCAAATTCCACTCTCCAGACTGCCTTACCCTCCCTCACATCTACCCAAGTGGTTACCACAGACCACTTCCTGCATCCACACTCTGGGAGAACTCAGCAAAAGCCATTCACACCCATGCAGGTGGGCAGACTTTTTCATTCATCATTTACTGTAGTTTTTTTTTTGGCCATCTGTAAAAATCGTTTCCAATGGCATCCGTACTCTCCGAATGACCTTGACAATAATTACTGAATATAACCTGGTTTTCTGTTTGTATAACTGATTTGGTAGGATTGAACAGATATCCCAAACTAGCACCACATAAGATTGTGTTAGCCCACTATGTCCTTCGCTGTGATTCCTGGTTGTGCAGACCAGGGCTGAGGACCCTAACAGGAGAGCCTGCCTTGGAATCCAGTATATACTATATATATTAGAACGCTATTTTAAGGAAAGAAGGCTTCCTTAAATGATCTTGGGCTTCTTCATGCCTTCTGAGAGTGCTAATCCAGCTGTGGATTAAAAAACTGGTCTTTGCTAAGCTGTCATTTTCCTGTTGAAGTCACAGGTATATGCAAAGGTGCCAGGACAACAAGATTGGCCTTCCCTACTTTCCACCTCATTTTGCACTACTGCAACACAATCTTTCCAAAGAGTTAATCCAATGCCACCTGTACTCAGTTTAAATACTTTCACTGTTTCCACTAGGATGGAGGATTAAATTGGATTCAAGCGTCATTTCAAGGTTACTCTGATCTGCCTTTGTTTACCTATGTGGACCAATCTCTAGTTTTTACTTTATGGGGGTTCCTATCTGGCCTTCTTATCCCAAGGGCTTTGGTCAAGCACTCTCTGTTGGCTGGGGGCACCCTCATACTGGCATTCCATCTTTGACAAAATCCTGATGCTTCACAGCTCTACCTTGTCCTCCAACCTCCACAGCCTCCCTGATCTCTGTACCCCACCCAGCAACTCTCTCTCACAGTACTCATCATTCTGCACTGCCACTAACACCTAACACCCACGAGAAGATCACTCTTTTAACTGCCTCCAATGGATGGTCTCCTTTAAGCTCACAACTCTACAAAACAAAAAGCATTCTTCAGACGGGAAAACAGGTTCAAAGCTAAACTACTTCATTATTTGGCTATCTGGCTGCTTTAGCTGAGCTCTTACCCTTTACAGTACCCAGCATCACTACAAATCCTATGTTGGATCACGGCCTTCCTGAGGGAGGCAGCAAGGTGGTGAATGCTTACTAAATGCCTGGTGAGAATAGGCAGAACAGTTACTGCTTGAGATGTTGGCAGTTCCAAGAGGCTGGAAACGTGACTTCTAGTACTCTGCACTAAAAATGATAGCTCAACACATGATCCTGGTCCCCTCCCAGCTAAAATTATATATTAAAAAAAGCCAAAATAAAACAAAAAACACAACCTTTTCTCTAAAGTGGTCTGACTGGAGACACAAAAACCAGAAGGCAAGTTACTAAGCAGTCAGGTGTAGACCTTTACCTAGTTTCATGACAGAAGCACACACAAACCTTACAGAGGTTGGGATATGACTGTACCAAAATACACTAACTTAAATTTTTATTAGTACATATTTGCAGTACATGATTACATTCATTGTGAGGAACTGGTCCATACAAGTAACACTTTTCAACTCCTTCCCCATCTAATTTATTGTTGATGACAAAGAAAAAAGCTCAAGGCAAGTCTACCTGTTGGTTTCCTGGCTTAACGATTTTCAAGGTAGGACAGGCTTGTAATTCATTAAAAAAAAAAAAAACAGAAATTAAAACATTGCATTTAACAGAAAAAACTTAGGCCTACAAGGGACTTAGAATGTATTCTGCCTAAAAAAGATATTGTACCAGCTATTTTCTCTCTCTTCCTCATGACAGGCTTTCACTATGTAGCACAGGTTGGCCTTGAACTTACGATCCTCTTGCCTCAGCCTCCTGAATACGGTTATTACAGGTGTGCGCTACTGCACTCAGCGAGCTTGGCCAACGGCTATTATGTTGATACGCATCTTTCTTTTAATGGTTTACCTTCAAACAGATTTGGCCTTAAGTTATCAAAATGTTTTACAAAGAGTAAGCTAAGACTCAGGAAGGACACACACCGACAGTTAGATACAAGGTTGCAACCCTAGCCTGCCATGTCGCAAAGCTCTACCCCAAGACATAAGCACCTCCGAGTTTAAATAAGCATCCAAAAGCCCTTAACCTGCCAACAGATTCCCTTCCTATTCCCGCTCCCAAGCAGACAGGGTTGTGCAGAAGCTATGTCCGGACTCCGAGACCCCAGGCCAGCCCAGGACCCTTACACTTATGTCAGCTCGGCGGGGACCCGCGATCGAGCTGGGCCTCTGGCTGGCAGCCAGCTGTTCCCAGTCCGCGAAGCACTTGGGCGGACTCACCCACCTCTCGGCGC